GTTGTGGCCTCTCCCATTTGCGGAGCACAGGCTCCGGACGCGCAGGCTCAGTGGCCATGGCTCACGGGCCCAGCCGCTCCGTGGCATGTGGGATCCTCCGGAAACGGGGCACGAACCCGCGTCTCCTGCATCGGCAGGCGGACTCTCAAGCACTGTGCCACCAGGGAAGCCCCTGCCATTTTTTAATCAGGTTGTTTGTTTTTTTTTTTGATAGAGTTGTGTGAGCTGTTTATATATTTTGGATATTAACCCCTTATCGGTCATATCATTTGCAAATATTTTCACTCATCCAGTAGGTTGTCTTTTCATTTTGTCAGTGATTTCCTTTGCTGTGCAAAACTTTTTAAGATTAATTAGGTCCATTTGTTTATTTTTGCTTTTGCTTCCTATGCCTTAGAAGAAAGATCAAAAAAATATTGCTATGATTTATGTCAAAGAGTGTTCTGCCTATGTTTTCTTCTAGGAGTTTTATGGTTTCCGGTCTTATATTTAGGTCTTTAATGTGTTTTGAGTTTAATTTTGTATATGGTTTGGGAAAATGTTTTAATTTCATTCTTTTCCATGTAGCTGTCCAGTTTTCCCATCACATTTATTGAAGAGACTGTCCTTTTCCCATTGTATGTTCTTGCCTCCTTTATTGTAGATTAATTGGCCATAGTATGCAAGTTTATTTCTGAGCTCTATATTCTATTCCATTGATCTGTGTCTATTTTTGTGCCAGTACCATGCTGTTTTGGTTACTGTAGCTTTGTAGTGTAGTCTGAAGTCAGGGAACATGATATTCCCAGGTTTGTTATTTTTTCTCAAGATTGCTTTTGCTCTTCAGGGTCTTTTGTGGTTCCATGTAAATTTTAGCATTATTTGTTCTAGTTCTATGAAAAATGTCATGGTTATTTTGATAGGGATTGCATTAAATCTGCAGATTGCTTTGCAGTAGGATGGACATTTTAACAACATTAATTCTTCCAATCCATGAACACAGTATATCTTTCCATTTCTTTATATCATTTTCAGTTTCCTTCATCAGTGTTTTATTGTTTTCAGAGTATAGGTCTTTTACCTCCTTGGTTAAGTTTATTCCTAGGTATTTTATTCTTTTTAATGTAATTTTAAATGGGATTGTCTTCTTACTTTCTCTTTCTGATAGTTTATTATTAGTATATAAAAAGCAACAGATTTCTGAACATTAATCTTGTATCCTGAAATTTTACTGAATGCATTTATTAGCTCAAATAGTTTTTTTGATGGAGACTTTAGTTTTCTATCTATAGTATCATGTCATTTGCAAATAGTGATAGTTTTACTTCTTCCCTTCCAATTTGGATGACTTTTGTTTTTTTTTCTTGGCTGATTGCTGTGGCTAGGACTTCCAATGCTATGTTAAATAGAAGTGGTGAGAGTGGGCATCCACCTTATTCCTGAGATTAAGCAAGCATGTTCTTCATGAGCAGAGTCTCAGTTTGTTACAGCCCTCCTGTAAGTCCCACTGGTTTTCAAACCAGCTAAGGGAACTTGTCTTCCTGGTGTTGGACCCCAGGGCCGGGGTGCCCAATATGTGATTCGAACCCCTCACTCCCCAGGGAGGATCTCCGAGCCCATGATATCCCTCTCTTCTGTGCCCCTGACTAGGGAGTCCCACCCTGATTGCTTCTCCTTCTTTCCTTTCTGACTCTGTGTGGATCTTTCTTTACAGTCTCGTGTCCAGTTTACTACCAGTGTCCAGTTTGTTTTCATTGAGAATTGCTCCACATGTAGATGTATTTTTTAATATAAATTTATTTATTTGTTTATTTCTGGCTGCATTGGGTCTCTGTTGCTGTGCGCAGGTTTTCTCTAGTTGTGGTGCATGGGCTTCTCATTTCAGTGGCTTCTCTTGTTGCGGAGCATGGGCTCTAGGCGTGTGGGCTTCAGTAGTTGTGGCACTCAGGCTCAGTAGTTGTGGCTCACGGGCTCTAGAGCGCAGGCTCAGTAGTTGTGGCGCATGGGCTTAGTTGCTCCACGGCATATGGGATCTTCCTGGACCAGGGTTCGAACCCGTGTCCCCTGAGCTGGCAGGCCGATTCTTAACCACTGCGCTACCAGGGAAGTCCCATGTAGATGTGTTTTTGGTGTATTCATTGGGGGAGGTGAGCTCAGCATCCTCCTACTCCGCCACCTTGATCTTCTCCCAGTAAAAGCACTATATTTAGAGATAACAGACCTAAAAGAGCTAAAAGTTGTTGAATTTGGGGTGTATAAATGACAGATGAAGAATGATAGAATGGTTTTCATTCCAAGCCTTTTGGTGCCATGTGACTTTTTTTAAACCACATGCATGTGTTACTTTGATAAAAATACTATGTTTATTACAAATTAAGAAAGTACATGCTCATAGTATATTCAATAGATGCACTCAATGATGTGTTTTTGGTGATGTGGACAAAGACCTATATGCAAGATATCTACTGTTTTTAAAGTAAAACCCAAATGTTTGTAAGAATAGAGGACTGATAACAATTGATATCTAAATATTTCGCATCAGCAAAGCACTTATATAAATCCCAGAACTGTAGGACATGAAAAGAAATGAGATATTTCCTTGTACGCTGGTGGAAAAGACCTCCACTCAATACCATTCCATGAAAAAAGCAAAGTGCAAGGGAGTGTTCAAAGAATGCTCCCATTCATATATTATAGAAAATGTATATTGATAATATGTGCTTTTATATTCATAGAGGACTTCTGGAAATTTACTAAAGTAACTGTTAAACTGTGCCTCTAGGAAGTGGGACTGAGTGGGGAGAGAGGGAGACATCATATTCATTGTATGTCCTTTTTTTACTGTAAAGTGTTCGCTATGTCACTGCACTTAATTTTTCAGTGAAAAACTGCCAATATGGACTTCCTAATCAATCCATTTGAGAAGAGTCTATGAGTGCCCATGTTTAGATATAGAATGGGAGGCTTGGAAGATGGAGGATGGCCAACTCTATAAATATTCTCTTCACCTAGGACTTTTGAGTGTGAGCCCATGGTTCTTGGAAGAATCAGTGCCCTGGGAAGGGTGTTGAGGGGAGGTGGGCTGCAGGGTATGTAATTCTTTCTCTGTTCCTTTGTTTCCAATATCTAGGGCTTGTTCTGAACAATTTGAATGCAAACATACCAATAAAAATCCTGACTATAATTACACGAATTTTGACAACTTTGGCTGGTCTTTTCTTGCCGTGTTCCGGCTTATGACCCAAGATTCCTGGGAGAAGCTTTATCAACAGGTTATCTATTTATTCATTCTCTCTCTTTATTTCCCTCTCTCTCTCTCCTACCCCTCTGCCTCCTTGCCTCCTCTCTCCCTTTCCATCACTTATCTACCTCTTCATCATTTATTTATAACCTACCATCTCTCCTTCACCTTTGTCATCTATTTCTTATCCTTAACAGTTGTACTGTTAAATTGTGTTTTAGAAATTCCATTAGAAACATCAAAAAAAAAAAAAGACTATAAATGTGATATTTGGAAGAAGAGTACAAAAAAACTCCTCTTCCTAGAAATATCACCCCTCTCCAGATTCCCCACTGACTGAAGTTCCGCTACTAGTGCTTCAGCTTTCATGCAGCATTGCTCTCTCTTGCCTTTTTAATTTAAAAAATGCAAATACCCTTGAGAAAGTCACAGTAAAGTCACTATGACTTCTGTGTGAATGTACAGATGGCATTTCCTTGCTGAGAGATAGGGCATCAGGAGCTCTAGGTGATGGGGGAGGCAGTAGATGATGCTGCAGGTAACTGAGCCAACCAGGGCTGGGGAGAGACCAATTGCTACAGTGTAATCTCTACATGAGGTCAAGTCACCCCTCTGCGGAGGAAAGATTCAGACGCCAGCATGTGCTGTGTCCCTTGCAGACTTTGCGCACCTCAGGGCTCTACTCAGTCTTCTTCTTTGTGGTGGTCATCTTCCTGGGCTCTTTCTACTTGATTAACTTAACCCTGGCTGTTGTCACCATGGCTTACGAGGAACAGAACAAGAATGTAGCTGCTGAGACAGAAGCCAAGGAGAAGATGTTCCAGGAAGCCCAGCAGCTGTTAAAGGAGGAGAAGGAGGTAGGGGCACGTGGTGTGAGACAGTGGGGTCTGCTTGGGAGGACCCCAGAGGCCGTGGGGTCTGACACTCAACGTTTCTGTATAAGGCCTAGTCTCAGTGCTTTCCTAACTGGTGCTTTTCTGAGAATTTTTAAGCCCTTTGCAGCTGGCTCTGCTACAGTCTCCCACTAAGATGTCCAGGCGCAGGGCTCTTGAGGAAGGGAACCCTTGGTTTTGATGATCTTTGACCTTCTGAAACCTGAGCCTTCAAAGATAGATCCCAAATTGCTGGCTAGAGGATAAAATGTATGTGTATGTAAATTAAGGCTCTGCTCCAGGCTTTCCTTTGGGAAGCTGGAGATGTTTGTGTCCAGGGACTTTGCTTGCGAGAGTCTGGAAAATCAATCATGGTGGCTGTAGAGATGACAGTCATGATCCTTTCTTATAATCCTTGTTATATTTACAGGCCATTCTTATTGTTTCTGTGACATCTTTACATTTTTTCAGCTCTAAGATTCTAAGATTCGATTCTAAGATTTCAGAGCAGGGCCATGTCATATGCTTTTTCTCATCTTCCACAGAGATTTGTCAGGAGGAAGCCCATCTTAAGTGCTTGATATCTGCAACGTTAAGCGCAAACATTTACTGAATGCTTAGCACATACGGGGCACTGTGCTAAGGGTTAGTGACACAGAGATATCTAAGAGTTAACCCTGCCTTCGAGGGCTGCAATCTCGTGGACAAACAGGACATGTTCCCCACATAAACAGTGACAAAGCTAGCATCCCACATAAACAATGACAAAGCTAGCATATTACAGTTGGGCAATGAGCAATCAAAATGGTCCAGTGCTACCAGAAGAGAGGAGAGAATGCTTACTGAGGTCGAAGTCATTTACAGTGTTCTGTGGGGAGTGTGATCTGTTCATTAATTGCTCTTTTTTCACTCTCTAAGGCTCTGGTTGCCATGGGCATTGACAGAAGTTCACTTAATTCCCTTGAAGCATCATCTTTTTCCCCGAAGAAGAGAAAGCTATTTGGTAATAAGAAAAGAAAATCCTTCTTTTTGAGAAAGTCTGGGAAAGACCAGGTTCCAGGATTAGATTCTGATGAAGTTTCTTCAAAAAAGGCAAGTTTGGGCCAAGGGATTGATGATACTTTAGCACTCTTCAGGGGGACAGGTCAAGTTGTCAGTCTAATTGAAAGGACTCATTCATTCACTCAGTCATTTATCCATTCATCCATTTGCACATACTTCCCTGCATCCATGTGTCTATTCAATTATCCATTTATTTACAGATGTCTATTTAAAATGTTGACAGTGTTTATTTGGCACTGGGGTAGGCACTGGGGATATGTGGGATATATAACACAGGCAAGTAATGATGAAGGCACACTGACAAGGAGGCAGTTACTGTTCAGTGTGATGACCGACATGATGATCACTGAGCGAGAGCAGAGCAGGAGCATCGTCTTAGGGGCGATGTTTGTTCCCTGCAAGGCAAACCCTGAGACGTCAGAGTGCAAGTAGATTATTTGGGAAGTGATCTCAGGAGGCACTAAGAGGGGAGGGGAGAAGTGATACATGGAAGAGAAGGTGGCCAATTAATGTGCATTATTAAGCCAGTTTAATCTCCCTGGAGTGAGGGCACTAGAGTATTTATACATCAGCTTTGATCCATCATTGGTTCAAGACTTCTGGGGTCAGGAAACAATAATTTTTCTGTATTTCTGACATGCTATGTGTTAGGGCAAAAGTGTTTGGGTTGCCAAAGGAAGCCTGAGGACGTATGGATGGGGCCAACAATAGTGTCTGCTTCAGACAACCAACCCCAGACTTAGTGGGGGCTGGGAAAAGAGCAGTGGATCAGAAAAGAGTTCCCAGAGGAAGCAGTGTATAAGCTGAAAGGATGAATTAACCGGGTAAAAGGAAGAATGAAGCACTACCCATAGAGAGAACAGCACATGCATAGGCCTGGAAGCAAAGGAGAGCAGAACATGACCCAGTAGAAAATGTGCAAGTGTGTGTGCGCACGCGTGTGTGTGTGTGAGATGAGGTTGGGGGGGTGGTGGCAAGAGGCTCTAGTGGTAAGATATGGACCATCATAAAAGGCCTTGAAGCCAAGCTAAGGAGTTCATTCTTTACACTGAGAGCAAGTGGTAAGCAGTATGGAAAGGTTTTAAGCAGAAGAGTGATAATGACTAGATTTACATTGTGGAAATCCTGGATGCATTGAAGAGAGGGGATTGGAGGAGTGCGAGACTGGAGGCAACCAATTAAGAAGTTGTTGCAGTGATCCAAGTAAGAGGTGACAATGGCTTAAACTATGGTTAGGGCAGTGAGGATAAAGAGAGATGAACAGGTTACAGTGATCTGCAGAGGAAAAGATTTTGGCAATTGACTAGATGTAGAGGGTGGGGTTTATGGCTTGGGTAGCTGACTTGTTGATGGGTAATCTACTGAGATGGGCAAAGAGCATGTTCTGGGAGCGAGGAAGATAGCAAGCTAAGTTTTGCATGTGCCAATTTTGAGGTGCCTATGGGGCATTCAAGTCAGGCTGTTGAGTAGGCAGCAGGATCTGCAGAAAAGAAGCTATGGGAGGATGTACTGAAGAAAAAGAAAGCTAATTCTTATCATTTAAGGTGGGGGATGTTTGAACATGTTTTAATTCTGGAGAAGAGAAGTCAAAAGAGAGGAAGATGTTGGTGCTACAGGCCAGGGAATAATGGCTAGAGCCTCTTTACTGAGGTAGGGGGAGGATGAAGCAGGCAGGAGGTGGGCGTGTGTGCCTGAGCCCGGGGTGGGGAAAGGGAGTTCAAGGGCCTTTGTAGAAGTAGATGCACGGACCTCACCCACTGCTCTGAGCAGTTCTCTGATGGAGTGACAGGGCAAGAGCTCATGATTTAGAGGCTTCTTTGCTGTCAGATCACAGCATATTCAAGAGACTGCATATATTTTTTAATATTTTGCAAGTTTTTCCTCATTTCACAAAGCAATAGACAAAGACCCAGACACCTAACATAAAGTGTCTTTTCCCTTTAGCTAGAATAGGAAATAGCTATAGAAAGACTGCAGGCTCCCTTTAGAATAGCTTTTCAGAAAGGGATAGTTCGCTCTGGGGCCATGGTTGGTCAGAGCTTTGGGGGGCATAAGTAATTACGGATACCTGAGTTTTCTGGATAGCTGAAGGTTTATGTCCTTTAATCTCTTGGTACTTTAGAGTTGTAGATAAGGTGAGAATCAATAAGCTCTTAGACATAGCCTGAGTGCTTGAAGTTTAGTATATGGATTTTGTGATATTTATTTTGACTGTTCTTTTTAGTTACTGACTATTTCAAAATCTATTTAGGCAGCCACTCAAGGCACTTCACTATGTGGCCTCAATCCACCTTTCTAAATTTATACACCACTTCTGCCCCTTGCAAACATTGTTTCTAAATCGCACTTTTTATTGCTTTCATACCCTGAACCACTGTGCATTAGTTTTTGTAAAATATTTTTTGCTCTTTGTTGACAATGAGTAAAACACGGAGAAAGAAATGTTTCTGTAGGTACGACTCCAGACTCTAGAAATGGGCATACATAAGAAATATGAATGTTCAAACCATATTTCTCTTATCTATTAAATGTGAATTAAGAAAACTGCACCTTTGGCATGCCATGAAGTTGAAGTGAGTTGAGCATCTTCGCTGCATGTGGCATTGAAACAGTTTGTCAGGTTTTGAGGAGAGGTCGCCCCTTCCCTTAGACAGTCCACCATGCCTTCTCTTATAGCCACACCTACTTGAACAAACCAAACGACTGTCCCAGAATCTGTCAGTGGACCACTGTGATGAGCACGGAGACCCCTTCCAAAGGCAGAGAGCGCTGAGCGCTGTGAGCATCCTCACCATCACCATGCACGGTAAGTTCTGTTCCAAGACCAAGGGGGAGCCTAACTTCAAGGATGCCCTTCCCTTCTCCCTCTCTCCAGCCCCCCAGAAGCCCTTTGCAACCCACTGTACTTCCTGCAGAGTGACTCCCCATGCTTCTTTGGAGCATGTGAGCAAAATGGCTTGGAAGAAGCAGGCCTTCCTTTTGGGCCCACCCTGAGCTGCCACTTGGGTCGTGGTGGGACCAAGCGCACCAACGGGACTTCTCGTTCAGGCCAGGCAGTCACAGGAAGTTTCAGTGACAATGATAGCCAGCCAAAGAAGAGAAGACATAGAAGTTTCCAGGAGGTTACAGTTGTCATTGAAGTTAGAATAGGGTTCTGGCATGAATAATAGAAGAAGACTTGCGTATGCAGGCTGGAACCATCTGATGGACCTGATTAACAGGAGACAACAGGGACCAAACTGAAGGGTTCGTGTTCAAGGGCAGGACTCAAGTCACAGCAAGAATGGGATCAAATGGGTTCTTGGCACTTGTGAGCCTATTGCATCATCTCATGAGGCCTTGAAATTGTGTGGAAATAAGGGTGCAGCTGCTTTCTGGCCTGAATTCAACCAACTGATAGCATACCTTTTGTTTCAGTGCTTATAGATGCCCCTGCCTGAATATCTCCCCTTCCCCTGAGCCCTGGTAGCTTCCTGTGCTCTGGTACAGCCATCACCATGGTCTTCCTTGAGTGAACATAACTTGGGCTTGTGTCTGTCTCTCTCATGGGTTCATAGCCAGTCAGTGTTGACTTCCCCATCTGTATCTCCCACAGTGTGGCCCTGCTCCCAGATGCTCAATATAAGTATAAAGACTTGAAGTACTTGACTATACCACATGGAAGTTGAGTGTGGGAAACCTTCCTAGCTATGCGTCAGTACCCTTCTTGACTGATCATGTTGTAGCACAGGAGATGCTAGGGAAGAGGGAGGAAGGAATGCACCCAGGCAAAGAACAGCCAGACTGGCTCAGACCTAACTCCTCAAGTGCTCTTTCAATTCTCCTTCTCCAGAACAAGAAAAATCACAGGAACCTTGCCTCCCATGTGGGGAAAACCTGGCATCCAAATACCTCGTGTGGGACTGTAGCCCCCGGTGGCTGTGCATTAAGAAGGCCCTGAGAACCGTGATGACTGACCCCTTTACTGAGCTGGCCATCACCATCTGCATCATAATCAACACTCTCTTCTTGGCCATGGAGCATTACAAAATGGACCAGAGTTTTGAGAACATGTTGTACACAGGGAATTTGGTAACTCTCGGCTTTTTAAAATATAAAACATATTTCAAACTTTGAATTATAACTCAAAGTCTAAACATTTTGTGAGTGGCCTAACCTAACGTAGGTCTTTGGTCCTCTTAGGTGGAGTAGAGGGAAAAGATGACCGTTAGGATTTTATTTTTACCCATTTCAGTAATTTTCCATGGGCCCCTGTTCGCCCTCTAGTACGTTGAGGTGTTTCTTTAGTCATCTAATGGATGACTAAAGGGTCATTCAGTGGTAAGACAGAAGCAAGTAGACATCTTAAACGGTCAACTATTTTGGATGATCAAGAAAACATTAACCATATCCAGAGACCCATGGTAATGAGAACCATGGTCCCCAGTGATATTGACAACATCATTTGTCACAAAACAGTGTGACTGCCATTACTAAGTGTTATTTTCCCTGGAAAGGTGAGTCAGAGCATGGAAGCTGTAGGAGGTTCTTTCCCAGGAGTAGGTGTGAGAGGCTTGTGGGGTGGGGTGGGCATGGGGTTCCAGACTTGAGCCTGCTTCAGTGCGTTTGTTATTGGATGAAGCTACTCTCAGTTAAATTGGGAACATTAAGATACAGGAGCAGATTTTTCCAGAACTGTTCACTTTAATTCATAGCTCCTGCAGAAGGCCCAAGGGAAAATTAGTTTCCCAAATATCAGAAATAATAAGTACCTAGTGAATGTTCTACCCTAATTTGCTACTGAGTTAATTAGCTAAAAACCTTACCAGAATGTCTAGCCTTTTCTTCTTACAGTTTTATGTTATTTTTTCTAATTTAAAAAGCAATGTATGTTATTTTAATTTTAAAAATAAGAAAAAATACAAAGAAGGGAAATACAAAGAAGAAACTCATTTCCTATGGTCTTAGTAGCAAAGATGATCATTTTTAGCATTGCAGAGTATTGCCAGGCAGTATGTATGTATGTAGGTATTTTTAAATTTTCCTTTTTTTTTTACTTTGACAAGAACTCACAGTACGTATTGAATCAGGAGTTGGTCCACAGAGCTGCTTCCATGCATCAGGTTTAGGATGGTGTAGAACTGTAGACAGGTGCCTGTTACCCTTGGTTCCACATCCCATGCAGGAAGAGTAGGGAACTGCAGTATAAGAGCAGGGTGGATCTCCTTACAGACAGTCTGCATTTAAGTTCCTTTTCCCATACCGCCTTTGGGAAGAAGTGCCCTGTGGGTGTGCATAGGTCAGATTAGATTCCACGTTGCACAATAAAGCTAAGACACACAATACCTTCTAACAGGCTGGCATCTTCTGGGCTCCAGGCCGGGGTGTTTAGCTCTCTCCTGTTGAGGTGTCCCAGAATGGCCTGACGGTTTAGTTTCACTTGGAGGCAGAATGCTGTGCCCTCAGGGCCACAGCCCCTACCTCGACAGAGTTAGCAGGACCCATCTTTCAGCATCTCCTGGTAGATGGAGTTATTGGATAAATTCCAGAGAATAATCAACCCAGAGTCATCCCCCTGGACAGAGCTTCCCAATTGCAAAGGTGGTCTGTCCATCACTTCATCTGCTGGTCCAACTGTGGGAAATAGCCAAAGCCCGCCTCTCACATTTCCCGCTGACCAGGCATCCTGGGTGCTGAAGTGAAGTTGCATTTTACAGCTGGAAGCTGGCAAATTAAGTGACATTCTTCTTCACTCTCTCCAGAGGCAAAAGGAGCACAGGGACATTGTTGGTGTCTGAGAACACAGACAGCAGCTGGACCCTGGGTCCTGAAAATTGAAGAGAAGCATGCAGAGCTGGTTATGTAGCCTGTGCATCTATTCCATGTGCCCCATTCCCTAGACATGCAAAAAAGGGGCAGCCACCTCACCTCTTGTGCCCTCCTGATGGTGGTGCACGGAGGCCTTGGAGCCCTGAGCTTGAAAGAACACATTCAGACCTCTCCTGTCTGATGGATGGACCAGGATTAAGCTGGCCTGTGGAGTTCTGTGGACTAGACTTAGAAATGGGCTCTCTAGGCTTCAGAATTGCTTGAATCAAGCGAGTACATTGAGCTCCCAAGGAGTCATAAATAGCAATTGAATTGGATTGCAAAACCAATGGTCCCAAAGCATCTAGGGACACTGTTGGGCTCAGACACCTAAAGCCTGAAGGAGACAGGAGGAGGAAGAGTGGGTCAAAAGGGGATGGAGATCAGTCCGACACAATTAACTGGAATGCACAACACTGCCTGCTTTTAGGCGCTGGTTATGGCACTGCGCAGGAATAGGCAGCAATTTTTAAAGGGAGAAGATAGGTATAAGCTTTGATTTTTCTTTGCCACCCTTGATTTCTTTTTATTTGCCTATTCTGTGTTTATTTATGCCTATCCTTTTATTTTAACTTGTGTCATTTTATTTTAGGGATGTATTTTATAAATAGTAAGTCATTGAATTATTTATAAAAATAGATTGCGTGTTACTTTTTAATAAGGAAAGTTAATCATTTAGGGGTTGTTTTTGTTGTTTCCAGAACTAAAGAGGACAGTCTTATAACACAGCGGTCCCCGACCTTTTTTTTTCTTTTTTTAAGATGGTGGGGGTAGGAGTTTATTAATTAATTAATTTATTTTGCTGTGTTGGGTCTTCGTTTCTGTGTGAGGGCTTTCTCTAGTTGTGGCAAGCGGGGGCCACTCTTCATTGCAGTGCATGGGCCTCTCACTATCGCGGCCTCTCTTGTTGCGGAGCACAGGCTCCAGACGTGCAGGCTCAGTAGTTGTGGCTCACTGGCCTAGTTGCTCCGCGGCATGTGGGATCCTCCCAGACCAGGGCTCGAACCCGTGTTCCCTGCATTAGCAGGCAGATTCTCAACCACTGTGCCACCAGGGAAGCCCCAGCAGTCTCCAACCTTTTTGGCACCAGGGACCGGTTTCGTGGAAGACAGTTTTTCCATGGACTGTGGAGGGGGGAGATGGTTCAGATGGTAGTGCGAGCGATGGGGAGCGGCAGATGAAGCTTCGCTGGCTCGCCTGCCGCTCACCTCCTGCCTGGTTCCTAACAGGCCACAGACTGGTACTGGTCTCCGGCCCGGAGGTTGGGGACCCCTGTTAAGACGGACATTTTAGGGGCTTCCCTGGTGGTGCAGTGGTTGAGAGTCCGCCTGCCGATGCAGGGGACACGGGTTCGTGCCCCGGTCCGGGGAGATCCCACATGCTGCGGAGCGGCTGGGCCCGTGAGCCATGGCCGCTGAGCCTGCGCGTCCGGAGCCTGTGCTCCGCAATGGGAGAGGCCACAACAGTGAGAAGCCTGCGAACCGCAAAAAAAACAAAACAAAACAAAAACAAAAACAAAAAGGACATTTTAAAAGACTTTAACCCTTTTCATATTACTGTATTATTTTCATACTATTGTTTTTCTCATTTCTATTTAATGTGTGTGTGTGATAAGAGAAAGTGCTGTTTGCTATGAAGGAATGCTTTGCTTTATTTTCTGCAAAGAATAGAAGATAGATTTAGTTTTGAATTTGGCTACTATGCTACATTTTGCAAATTTCTTAAGCCTGTATTATCTAATTGTTAAAGACAGAGAATTATTTTTCCCTTGGAAAAGACACAGTTTAGTGCTTTTTAAGCTCTTGCACCTCCTTTTAATTCTTTGATATTTTCTTCTGGAATGATGCGCCCTGCGTTCTAGTGAGTCTTTAGGATTATATTCTGACTCCCTAATCTTCCTTTCAACCATAACCAATCTAGGGTTTATCCTCTATATCAGGTTGCTCAAAGACATTTTTCTGTGCCTGCTAGTATTTTTCAGTTCTCTGCTCTGGGCTCTTTTAATTTTTTTTTTTTTTTTTTTTTT